AGATAGAATCACTACAAAACACACCTTAGATCTTCTCCATGCAGGATGTTGGTACATCTGATTGATTCCTAGCACTGATCTGTCTATTAGTCCCACTGCATTACAAGGAGAATCGAGTTTTCCTCTCACTTTGCAGGTTACCTAAACGTGGTTACAAAATTAGAGAGATAAATAGGTTATCCATTATAGCATAATAACTTTGAAGGCCACAATTGCAGAGAAGAATGAAATAATCACTAAATAATGTTAAATCTCACAAAAGACTGTTTCTTATTTTTATCATTACAACTATCACTGAACTGCTAAACAATTTATAATGTTTTTATATGTTTAATAACCATAACCCTGATGGTCCAAAGCTTTAACATCAAACAGATATATATATATATATATATAAACAAAGCATTGTCTATCATATAAGGAGAAGTTAAAGGATCTGTAGCATAGTTTAAGGGCAAAGAGAGCTTACAGAGAAAACCTTCCCATAATCAGCACTATCCTTGTTATGGATAGTGAAATGCCAATCAAGAACATATATTCCATACATAAAAGCAGAGTAAACAATAAATGAAAATACACCCATTGCCCTGCAAATTGAGATACAGAAGGTTATTAATAAACATTATACTTATAGGATGCAATTTTGAGTCTAAGACCAAGAAAAAGCCTATATGCATTGACCAATGCCGACAGTGACACTTGAATATAGAGAAGTGGCCATGTAAAAGAACCTTGCTTGCTCCATCTTTTAGAAAGATCTCCAAAATAGCCACCAACAAGTATGAGAAAGCTATTCTCTGCCAAGAGTAAATTGATCATTACTACATAGATTAAGCCCTAAAAAAAAAAAAAAGGAACTAAATCATGCCATAAACACCAACAAAAAATAAATAAATAAACTTACTTGCAAAATTCCACCGAATCTTATCATTTTCATATCAACCCCATAAGTTAGTAATTTCTCATGGTTTCAACTGGATTACAAATGCTGTTTTAGTAAACACTAACCAGAAGCCGAATTAAAGCTCAAACAAACAGTTTGATGGAAATTCAT